CATATTTACTGCCAGATAACGAAAACTATAAGCACAAACCGATTTAAAACAGTGTAGGAACCATTTAACTATTTCTTCAAAAAAAAAATTAAAATGTCTTTCGATTCTTACCTGGTTTGGTACGCAATATCACTCATATAAGATGTCTGAACTCTAAATCTACTAAAACTGTCTAACCAGTGATACCAGAAATGATACAGCATTAAGATGAGAAGCTATAAGAGGTAAAATCATTTGTCCTGGGTCGTGTAAATGATTCAATGCTTTACCAGAAGACATAATCTCTTTAACATCGCCTTAAGCTACACTGCAGCTGACCAACAACGTCCCATCAAATTTCCAACTATACTTTTTCATACTACAATATTGTAACAACTTTTCAATTGAATCTCCTGACAATATAGTGAAAACATGAAAGTTTACTGAAAGATACATACCTTATAACATCAGCCGCAGGCAGGAAAAGTTCATTCGTTGAAAGAGTCACAGGTTCGAAAACCTTTAAATGACCGAATAAATCCAGTTGTTCATGCTCACATTGGCCTTCAATAATATGCACAATTAACTTTGGCAAATCACTGACGACCTTAATGAGTTATTCAAGTTCACATTCATTTGCTATTATATTAAGACTGGTTATAAGTGTCGTCCCAACGTTGAGAGTTCGCTTTCGTTTTAATTGTTCATGTTTTGTGGTAGAAAACAATGACATACCTGTGATCATCTATCCCTCTGGTCTTCTTTTGTTAAATCGTCTTTTGTTTTTCATTCGAACTTACGTTTCTTTCAGCTTGAAAATATAATACATCTAAAAAAAGCAAGGGTGTTTTGGGGTATAAAAAAAAGGCGTGCACGTATTTTTCAAGCCATCTTTGAGGTATAAGGGTATCAGGTGAAACAGTCTTTCGTGTAATTACAGTTTTTCAAACAAATGAGCTTTCGATTGAGATTTCCGGCCATTTAAATTTCTTTTAGAGGTTAAAATAGGTTTTGTTATCAGAGTTTCATCGGCCGGGACTAGTTCCATGTAGTTTACAAAAGAAGAGCTAACTTAAAAACAGATGGTGAGAAATGTGGCTAACCAAAGGGTAAATTAAAGCTTCCAAATTTAATTCAAACTGGCCATCTTTTGCCCTGGAAATTGCTTTCTATAAACTGAATTTACCAGTTATAGTCTCCATTTCAGCCCATCAGGAGATATCAATGAAGCATGAGTTATTGTCATTCGTAAAACGAATTACTAGGAAGAAAATATTAAATTATGTCCCAACATAGTCTAAATTTTTAGTATTTCCATGCTTCAGTTCCATCCAGTTTCTTTCTATAAACTGTGCATCAACAAGTGTATTTAAAAATGAGTTAATTTACAAGTTGCTTGTCCAAAAATGTCAAGAAACATCACTAACTGATAAGAACACAAAAACCTGCAAAACCGAATGGACTGTTTCGTTTAGCTTTAATGAATTTTTTCATGATAAGAATTACATGACGCTAGTTCGAGGAACTAACTATTTGCCTTATTCCTTCTTGGGTCGAATGTTGTAGCTCCAAATTATACATTTATCCTCTGGCTGTCTCCCAATGCTTACGCGGAAAATAACATTGTTTGTCTAACAATTTCAACGCAGTTTGTTATGTAATCGTCTTCCTTTTTGTAATGCTCCTTGAAAATAAACTTTCACGTTTACGTAATAGTAAGAACTCAGTATTTGCATTATTCTGAATAACTTTACCCTCCGGAACACTGAGTTTCTGGGTTGAAACTATCAGAATGAAGCGTTGAAATGAGCTATAACACACCGCCTGGCTTTTTATAACCATCCTTATCACGCAGACAGTTTTGGTGCATTTAACTTTCAAGGCGTTCCAAACTAATTTGTCCTTTTAATTGTGGCCGAGGGTGTACATATTTAAATCTGATTTTCGTAGTCAAAATTCTCAGAACTCGCCGTCTTTTCCCAATCTTTTCTTTCATGAATAAACAAGAATAAACAATATTATTGAATAAATAAAAACACTCTTACAGTGTAAGTCTCGCTTGCTTGAAGATTAGATCGAGAAATGAGGAGGCGATTAATTCTACACGAAAAAGGATTTACTAGAGATTCTTCACTTCCTCATTACTTTATCGACGGTCGGACATTCTTCAAGATATTTACTTTTTATTTGTTTCTGAATTGATTTAGTGAGCGTTTTAGCGACGACCGTAAATACGTCTGCGGTCGAATACGCGTGTATAAATACACGAAAATTCAAGGGCCTCGATTCCAGAGAAATTACATCAGTGCTAGAGATCAAAAAAGTGATTTGCGTGGCACGTCATTTCAATCATCGCCGAAAACAAACCGCGTGCTCATTACAACACCATCGCAGTTTTGCTAATTAAGATTCTTCTTTTTTTCGACCACTGTAGTGTTTACTTGTTCCAAAGTAATCAATGCTTTCAAGCGATAGAATTCGTGAAACGACCTCATTCTGGAAAAGCTCTTAATTGTCTTAATTCAATCTTTCCTAAGCTTTCTTCGCAAAACATGCGTGGCTTCGGTCACACAACGATTCTTACTCTCAGTTTCCACGGTCTCCACTAGGAACGCCTGGGACCATGATCTCCTTTACGTGTCCTAAATACGAAGAAAGACGGCTTGCAGATTATGAGTCTCGCTGCTTAAGCGAGCAAGACTAAAGGATCATATTGCTTCTGCGAGCGTGGGGTGAATGAGAGAAATCTTATCTCCAACTATGATAGCCAGTGTGCTGACTGGATCAGATTGCTCGAGTGCTTTTTCGCGGAAGAGCGACGAAGGATATTCCCCATTCCTCTACCGCCTTTATGGCCAAATTCATTCCACGGCTTGTCAACAGTCGCGTCGTGCGCGCGCAACCAAGGGGAGGGGCCGGCTCCCCGATTTCGAGTCTCCTCTCGCGCCGATTTATGCCCGTTTTATGGGTTGTACTGTAAACCGGCGGTTTTCTCTCTATACTCTATCGCTCCAACGGCTCCGATAGACTCCAAATTACGCCTAGGTAACACACGATAGTTCTGCTTTCCATTCGTGGTCTTTCTTCAAGATGCATTTGCACTGAGAGCAAACCAAAGGTCGCCAATCTCTGCAAACTTTCGCGTCTGAAGCCATCGACTGGTTTGAACTCCGCGTTACCCGAACGGTTGAAGACAGTTCAAGTTACTCACGCTAGGGGTACTAGTAAGTGACAAAACATTGCTCCATGTCGAGGTTAGCCTGCGTGGCAGGCGTTTGAAAGGGAAGGGAAAAGGAGTTTTAGGTGCGAGAGAAACGCGAGGGGCGCGCGAGGGGCGCCCCTCGCGTTTCTCTCGCACCTAAAACTCCTTTTCCCTTCCCTTTCAAACGCCTGCCACGCAGGCTATGTCGAGGTCTCAGATCGAGCAGCCAAAATCACACGGAAATCGGGACAGTATGCCTTTTCATACACAACGGTAAACGCGAATAAAATTTTTACAAGGAAATGATTCACGCATAAACTGACCCTGGTCGGTAAAGCGAATCTAAAGCGGGCCAGCTCAGTTAACCTGTCTATGGGCTATCTATGCGGCTAATGCTTTGTCACCCACCCCCAGCGTGAGTAACTTTAGTTATCTTCAACTGTTTGGGTAACGCGGAGTTTAAACCAAGGTTCCGTCGATGGGCTCAGGTTTGCAGAGATTGGCGACCTTTAATTCGCTTTCGGTACAAATGCGTCTTGAAGAAAGATCACGAATGGAAAGCAAAACTATCGTGTGTTACCTAGGAGGAATTTGGGGGGAATTGGATCTGTCGGGCCGCTTCGCTGGAGTCCCCAGCCTTGGTACTGACCTTTATGAGAGAGAGGGCTGTTTACAGTAAAACCCATAAAACGGCCATAAAACGGCCCATGGACCACACAGGAGAGACGTAACACACATTTTATGTAAGGTGAGCTGTTTTTCATTGAAATCCTTTCATTTTCGTAGGATACAGAAACAATAGGTTTTTTCCCCATATAAATCCTTAAAAATTTAAAAATATTGTTCTCTCTGAGTCACAACAGTAGAGACACCAACGATCACAGCGTACGTGGAAAATGACCAATGCTTTTACTGCGCTAAGTGGCAGCCGTTTTCGGAGCAGACAGGTCTTACTATTAAGCGGACGTAAACTTCAGAACACAAACTGTACCGAGCCGTTTTCTGCTGCAGTCACGAGACATAAACAACAGACTTCAGGTCGCCTCCGAACGACGAATAATACAATAGTGAAAGGTTTTCAAATTCATGCCCGCCGGTAAGTGTTTCATTTCATCACTCCTGTCCAAGTTTTGATGGTATGCGTTCCATCGACAACACAAGCCGTGTTTCAGGAGCTGGTGGTGTAATATAATACCTTCACTACGTTGTTCATGTACTATTGAATGACAGTTTTCTGGCCCAGCGCAGTTTCTTTTTCCCTCAGGAGCCTCTCAACCAACTGGAAATATCCGCACTCACATCGCTAGCCTGCGTAGCAGGCGTTTGAAAGGGAAGGGAAAGGGAGTTTGCGAGAGAAACGCGAGCGGCGCGCGAGGAGGGAAGGAGCGAGCGTTTCTCTCGGGCCTAAAACTCCCTTTCCCTTCCCTTTTGAAACGCCGGCCACGCAGCGCAGGCTATCACATCGCCTGCGTTGCAGCCGGCCCACACTAGCCTGTTCCAGGCTCTCGGATAGTGGGGAAGACGCGAAAGAAAAAGGCACGCGAAAAGTTGGCGGGGTGGGAAAAAGGAAGGGAGACGCCGCCCTTGCTCTCCCCAGTTTCCTTACGTTTTATTTTCGTGTTTGTGCTTTCTAAATTCAGCGGATCCTACTATCTCGGAGCCTGGAACAGGTTAGCCCACGCACTCGTCTAAACCATTTGTAGAAGGTTTAGAGCGTCTGCGACGCAGGCTACACTCACAGAATGCGAGTTGAAACGATTTTCGTGGGCCTTCCGGGCAGGCGCCCCCTCTCGCGCGCCTGTTCTTTGTTGCGCCCATCACTTCCAAGAGCCTGCTACGGAGGCTAAATTTTTACAGCTCTTAAATGGATAGTTTTGTTCGTGGGGGGTACTCCCATATATGGGCTAGACAGATATGTGCCGCCCAATAGAGAATGGTTTTCTAGCGCCTCGATAGAGCATTAGGGGGCTTTAGCATCGAGGACGGTAATGACAGCAAAAACGTCACTTTTGAAATGAATTCGCGTTTTTTCAAACTTTTTCGCGTTTATTCCAATTCGTCGAAAATGTCAAATGTAGGCGTATTTCCCTGGAGTTGATTTCTTGGGACCCGAACTCAAGTTTAAATAGAGAAAGAAAAATTCGTCGTCGCTTGTTTACCTTAAAACATGAAATTAGGTATTTTCACGTCGTAACCTTGCAGTGACGGCAAAGAAATGTACAAAAAAGCGTGATACGCGAGCAGACTCGTTGTTTTGCTTATCTAAACCTATTGCTTTCTCGAAGTTCTCGTTGCCTTCGCTTTCGTCGTTGCTAAAGCTCCCAATAAAACAGAACGGCCTCTTAGAGCATTAGGAAAGTGACTTCATCAAGGTTTGTGTGTGTTGCCATCACCATCAATTCTTAGTTTTTGTTCTTTGAATAGGGTGTCATTTTTCGGGTTTATAACGTGTCAATTTTCGTTTACCTCCTCCTTAAATAGAGCCAGCATTTAAGACCCATTGGCGGCGCACATTTGGGAGCAAACCTCCCGAGTGGGGGGGGGGGGTCACTGTCCACAATATTGGACAAATTTAAGTTACTCTTTTTGAGTTGTCAATCAGTCTTGCTCTTCACTTTAAGTTTACTCTTCGTGGCTGATCTTAAGACCGTCGTTGCTAGCAAACAAGATCGTCATCTGGAGTTCCTCCTTACCGAAAAAGTTAACCTCGTACGCGGGTAGTTTTCGTCGTTATGAATATCAATCCCCTTCCTCTTCGATGCTGCAATATTTCCTTGAGGTCAGTTTGTTCCTTTTGAGGTAATCATCCAAGACCATCATAGGATTTTGAGGTTTCACAAAATGAAACACCTCGCCACTTGCTGTTGACAGCCCCAGGAGTTGGAATCGCGGCCGCCGAATCTTCAACCGGAAATACAATTTTTTAATGCTACTGTTTATCTCTACTTCCGCCATGTGTACTTCTTCAACTGTGCTGCCTGCATTTCTAAGTAGCGAGTGGAGTAGTGCGCAAGCGCCGTCTGAAGTAATGATATTGCAACCTATATTGAAAACTTTAAGGGTATCATTTAGTTCCAGACTCCTGGCTATGTTTTCTAATCCCCGGTCAGTGATTCGATTGTTATTTAGGTTGAGTTCTAAAAGCTTCCCATTTTGCTCTAGTGACCAAGCGATCCATCTAGCACCTTCTTGGCCAATTTCATTCCAGCTTAAATCCAACTTTTCTAGCGTTCGATTCTCCTTTAAGCCGGTGCAAATATGTTTGACTCCCTCATCGCTGAATCTGTTCCATCCTAAATTCAACTGTCGTAAGGAATCGTTACGCTCGATCATTTCTCCCAAATAATCCCCGCCAGTAACTCCTAGCAAATTATGGCTTAAATCCAGCTTGGTAAGGGAATCCTCGGTTTGCAACACATTGCTAAAAAATTGCATATCATCATCAGTTAAATGGTTCCTCGAAAGATCAAGTTTAATCAAACTGTCATTCACAGTTAGCATATTACCAAGCGCTTCGGCACCATCTTTGCCAATTTTATTCTCGGACAGGTTCACCTCAGTTATCAGACTATTTACCTCAAGTAATTTAGCCACGGAAATGGCCCCTTTATCTTGAATATCATTGAGTGACAGATCAAGTTTCTTCACTGAAGGATTTCGCCCCAAAGCTTCGGAAACCGCCACTGTACCCATCGGACCTATCCCAAGATTCCTCATAATCAGTTCTGAATCCCCGGATGTCATTCTGTCGAGGAAGTATGTCATTGCGAGCGGAGGTATGCCAAGCTGTTCGCAGCTCCTTAGAAACGATTCTCTGAGCGATAAATCGTGTATTTGGCACGCGTCTTGTACATCTTGGTGCCTGTCCTTTCTGTCGAGCCGATGAATCTTCTTGTTGGTCTTGAGACTCGCGTTTTCTGCGATCAACCTCTCATTTTTCAGCTCTTCATCATATTCATCCAAAATGCGGTTGAGATGGATTAACAAATTGGTCTCAGACACCACACGACTCTGTGGAAAAACATAGATTTCTTGAGCCCATCGTTTTGACTTCTTACCAATTGATATGCGAGGGAAAATGCTAAAAAATGGATGCTTGCTCTGCGCTCGTGACGAACGCCGCATTGCTGTATGTAATCAGTCCTTCCTCATCTCAGAAATATTTTAAACGTTCCATCGATTAACTGGTGTACTTTCATTCTCGAGGCTTATTCGGGTTTTAAAAATATAAAAATGAATTGCCAGTAAACTCAAAATAAATGGCTTTAAGTCGATCATGGAAACCAAACCGCTTGAACGAACAGTGCGTTACCGATTTAGAAGTGTTTTGAGACGTGCATGCTTACAATTGTTTCGTAATCCTCGAGAAATATGAGTCATTGGAATTCAAGATAAGGCCAAAAGGGTCAGCCACAAGTAAAACATTGATGGTTGCACAACGAGAGAGCAGATGTTGTTTTATTATGATGAAGCTGGTATCTTTTAATTAAACTGGTTTCTCGAGTAAATAAAAGGCAAATCCCCTTCATCGTATTGGAGAGTGCCGAAACTGTAAATTTAAATGCTTTGGCTACTTAACTTTAACGACATGTAAGGTACATTTAATTACTAAATACATTTGTGTAATGACTGCATATGGCAAGTCCCGACAAAAACCTAACAGCAATATTTATTTATCTCTTACAAAAATTTAGGTTTTTAACAACAAGTTAATTAAACTTAAAAAATAACTCATTTCGACAGTGGTGTTTTAGGACAATACAAGGTGAGGAAAAACCATATCTTTTGGCTAATAAAGATTGGGCACCCTGAACAAAACTAGCGCGGCACGACGAAATCAGATCATACTAGTAAATCTCTCGAAAGCTGTTTAACTTCTTTAAATATTCCGCCAGTCACTATTTTCAGAGCAAACATGTGATACATCACTCTTTTCACTCACCTTGGAGGAAGTAGTTTCATGGTACCGGTCATTTCGTAATTTCAATTCCGTGATAATATTGCCAGTCGCATTATGTAATGGAGCGTTTTTAGTCATTTGCGCTTATTTGTCATAGACCACACACTTGTTCAGTCAAACGTTACCTTTGAGCCAAAACACTGGCCAGTTTTCGTTACAAATATAGAACACAACTGTCTACTGTTATCAAACCCTTCAGTTCTGCTACATTCACGAAACCTAATCCATGAAGCGAAGTCGTGTTTTCCATAATTGATCAACTGTTTTGGGGTCGCAGAGTCAAAAAAGGTAATCACGAGACAAGAAATACTTGAACGAACTGTCGGAAAGACTTTTTTGTCTCAATCCACAAGAACAGCGACTGGCGTGATTTACTATCCAATTAATTACTTGCTGTGGGTGGGCACCGAAAACTCGTTTACCCACTAAGTCACGCGAGGGCACGCGCTAAAGTCACTTGTCACGTGATGCTGCCTTATCCAAAATCCGCAATAATTGGGTATTGATTGTTAAGTTGCGAGAGGAGCTTTTGGCCAATAACAACGAACGGTCTTGTGTGTTTTGTCTTCTGATCAATTTCATGGTTTTACCATTTTCCCTAAGAAAGCTTTCTCTTTATAAAAATATCTTATAGGTCAAATGACAATCCAGCAAGACAACTATATGCCTCTAGCCTCCTTTGTTCTTTACAGGGTAAAGTGAATACTTTCCCCTTTAATGACTAGCTACTTCTTAGCCAGTCATTAAAGGGGATAGTATTCACTCTACTGCTGTAAAGAAAATAAATATAAGAACGCTATCGGTTAACTTGTCTCAAAACACAGTGAGGAGAAAAATTTCTACACCCTCCGGTTACAAGTAATTTAGTACTAGAAATTAATATAGAATCATCATCGATATACTTCCGATCAATTCATACATGTTCATACAAATAAGTCGAAGGTCATTATTTCGAGACGTTATGATTTCGAAATTAGCTAAATAGAACTTAACAGCAATTCCTTTTCAATACTTTGAGTGATTAAAGAAAGCGCATTGACAAGAAGTACTTCCTAGTGAACCGATATTTCTTGGTAAGGTGACTGCCTGTGTATTTCCCGACAGTTAAAACGATGCGAAGACTTTTTTAAGATTTTTACATAACAAATCATATCAACTACTGATTCAGAAATCACGTTTTTGTAAGTAATAGAGTTGGTAATGTTTTGGAAAAAAGTGTTTTACTTGGAATATTTATTTGCGTGTTATTTCTATAAATACTCCGTTCAAGTCTTGTTCATAAAAAGAAAATCGAATTTAAAGGATTCAATAAATCATGAAACCAAGCTGTTTTTGGTCAAAAATTCCTTCCCAAAATAAAATTAAACAATTTTTTTGGCCTACCCTTAGCAGTTTTAACCATTGTTTCCTCGCGTCGGCCATTTTCATTTTCGAGGCATCGTCTTAAATATGGATGACTATTTTTCTTGTTTGCTCACTATAATGGAAATGTTAAGAGCCATGTAGTTGAAATCTTGTGTAAATTTTAGTCAACCGCCGGAAAAGTAGTCAGGAATGGAAAACAATAATTCTCAGAAATCTTTCATTATGTTTGCTCAAAAACAATCTCATTCATTCTTTTATAACGTTTCCACGCAACAGAAAGAAAGAATGGTTGGTTTATCAACAAATGACAAAGGCCTCTATCACATGAAAGAGAATCCAAAAGGATGTTAACAAATAACAAAAAAAATTGTTAGTTTTCACCTTTCCTAACATTCATACATCGGTAAACAAACTAAGGAAATAAGAGTTAAAAGCGATTTTTGTCATTTGACAATGACAGCTACAGCTGGATTTTAGAGTAAAAAAAAAAAGAAAATATAGCTGTGAGAAATTTTAAACTGCAAAAAGCTGATGGGACGTTACGAAATGTTGCAAGAACTTTAAGGCGACATACTCTGAGTCAAATAAAAAAGGGACTGGCATAACATTAAGCAGCGCAGCGATCAATCAACATAAAATTGATATATGTCACGTAATATCTTCTTTCGGTTACTCGTAAGGCTTGAAGGGTTTTTCTTACAGAGAATAAATCAATTTTTTTTTCCGGTAACGTTTTCATTATCACATTTCCGCCTGATTATCTTTAAGAAAAAGATATCAAAACTATACTTTCTCTATTCTTTTAAAAGGTGTAACTTTAAAAGAGTTTCCTTTCTGTTACCTTCTGACCAGTTAATTCTCTTTAAGCATAGTTTCAGCCCCTCGATTCGTATGGTTTTCCGTCATATTCTACTCGGTTTTTTGAGATCCGGCCTTCTGTTCCGGTCTTATGTACGCAGAGTTCTAAATTGACAGCAATTGACGAACTTTCGTTGAAAAGGTTTTTGGCTGAATATTAATCCTTATTAAAATGAGTCTAGGCGCGAAGGGATTCTAGCTAGAGGTACTGTACTAGCTCTTGCTCAATAAACTGTCTAGTAAAATCAGGGCATACAACGATGCTCAAGCTATGTTCTCAGTACTTATTTCACATAGCCTTTTTACAGCAAGCAGAGCACATTGCAATTAGTCTTACATAAGTTTTTATTTGGCTTTAATTCCCACCCACCCACATCCCGGGCAGTTATGATCTTCTTGTTGTTGGTGTTTTCGATTTCTAAGTTGTATTATACTGTGTCAACCCTACACGGGTCTCTGTCGTTGTAGCCTAGTTGTATTGATTGATATCGTTTGTATTATTGTTATAAAGAATTGTAATAAACTGCCTGACCCAAAATATTGTGGCTTCGCGTGAATCTTGGGGCTTAGAATACTAGCTGGCTAATGAATATTATCACAAATTGGATAAAACAGAACAAATGCATAAATCTTATCTCAAGGAACTCTCTGTCGGCTAGTACATGCATCTATTTGGCATTTTATCGTTTAAGGCGCCCATCGTCGTTTCAACTTTCAGTCAACTCTCCAGTCAGGATCGTCTACAATTTTCAAGTACATACGCAAGAAGTCTCGTCCTACTGTACTGTTTAATGACATTTATTACTCTCTGTTTTCGCAGGCGTTTCAAAGGTAGCCACCTCGATAATAATTAACCTTGAAGCGTTTCATTTGCTGGATCGTTTGTTTGCGAACCTTAAGAACATGAAACTGTCTGAATAACCGTCAATTTCATAATTAACTTTAAAAAGCCTCATTGCCGGTTACACGATCGGAACTTCCTTCCAAACAGATTTCTTTGTCCAAACTTGGACGGTTTCCCAGTAGCCTGAGTACCAGGTGTTTCTGGAGAAAGGGGGAAGAGAGAAGCGAAAAACCCCCCTTCCGCCTCCACCATCTAAAATCTTCTCTCCCTTACCCCCTTAGGAAGGTCTGATAATCAGACAGGTTTCCCAGTTTCTTACATAGTCCATGTGACTCTCATTACCTGTCCTTCACCCAGGAAACCTTTGCCAAAATGCCCATATTTACCTGGTATTTGCTACATTACTAGTTATCGCCTTCATTTAAGCCAATCAGGAGGCACAAGCTAAGCTGTTATTATAATTGGAACCAGCAGGTGCTTCGAAAACGAATGTGAAGATAATTTATTATCCTCTATACTCAGAACATTTAGTATTTCGATGTTTAGTTTCATTCTCTGCATCTTGTATCAACAAGAATATTTGAAAATAAATTAATTTAGAAGTTACTTGTAAAAAAAAATTAAAATGTTATTTTTCCGGCGAGAACACAAATAACCTGCAAAAACAATTGGACTGTTCTCTGGTGAAATTACACAACGCTAGCTCGGGAAACCAACTTTTTTTCTTGTATTGGCTTAGGTCGAATAAAGGTTCAATATTTATGGTTTTGAGGCGTCAAAGTTAAAAAAATTGCAACCAATCGAGTACAAACTACTGAATAACAAAATAAGGAAACGAATGCAACATACATTCATTTCTCTTTCATTGGTCAATATTTGAACAAGCTTTCATTTTAAATCAATCTTTTTTTGTTGTGGCCGCTTTTTTCGATCGGACTGTGATTTGATGTAATGTTGATGTAGTACTGTGTCTTGTCACAATATCTCTACTCGAAGCAATCATTTATGTAGTAGACATTCAGTTTAAAAATTTTAAACATAGTAACAAACACTCAAATTTTAAAATTTTACCTATCAAATTTGAAAACATCCTTCGAG